GCCCTGTCTGGTCAGCCTGGCCTTAAACAAAGGAAAGAAGTGGCTATGTGGAATTCCAGAGAGATAAAAAATGTTATCTTTTTATTTTATTGACATATCTGAATTCCACTTATATGTGCACAAAACAATGCAATAAACAATAAATAAAACCCTAAATACAACTTAAGATCTTCTCTTTTTATTGCCAAATAAATGACTCAATTGAGGACTGAAAACAAGCTTTAAATATAATTTCTAATGCAAATTATGTTCTTAGAAATTCCAATAAATTGAATAATTATTAATTGAAATAAACTTAGAACAACTAGGAAGACTTACTGGAGTTAGATAGGTCACCCCTTTAGGACTTGGCATGTACCCCACAATCGATTATATGACCGATGTCATATTCTGATCCCCTATTAGCCCTGCTGAATTCTCTGAATTGGGAAGCTCCCTTGGGCAATACATTTTCAGATTTAGGGTTTAAAAGTATATAGACTAGATCTAGGGTTTCTATAACATGCCACCTCAGTGGCACCTCCCTTTTCAAAGTTGGCTGGGCGTGCCCCTCTATGAACCCTTTGAGTGGCGTGCCACCCCAAGCTCGCTAATGTGGTACGTGCCACCCTTTTAAGACATGAGAGGACAGAGAAAGATAGAGAGAAATGTGCAGGACAGAGAAGGAGAAAGAGGCTAGAAGTTCTAATGGTGAGAATGAGGGGTGCTACCCTCTATATATAGCCTCCAAATGGGTCTAAGTATGCCTAATTGATTTAGAATTCATCTTGGCCATATGACTTCTAGGTAATTTGTGAGATGATAGATAAGCAAATTTAAGCCATCCATCCCATGAATCAATTATCATGATTTAAGGAGGAATCTATGAACCTTATCCCTTGAATCTTTGACCCACATCTATTGAATCTTAGAATCTAGGGTCCCACAATGCCCCTGGTTATTTTGGAATTTACAAAAACACATTTTTAGGGTTTCATTATTGCTGAAAATGATTTTAAAACTTCCTGAAAATCTCTAAAAATCACCTACTTATTTCTTTAGCTGAAACCAAAATTTCTCGCAGTGGATTGGTACCAATAGGTAAAGTAAAGTGACTGTAGGGCACTCCACCCTACCCAGTAATCATGATCCTTGACTATCTTCTCAAACCAACCCAACGAGACCCATGGGCCACAGTCTCATGCAAGGTCTCATGATTTGCGTATTAAATCTCACCAATAAATAATGAAACTATGGTCCCGAAATATGGATTAAAGGTTCCATCCTTCAGAATAACTCATAGCCCATATCACCATAATGAAGTGGTGCGCTCTCTATGCTCATGTACATGTATCTCTTTGTAAGATTGCTTCTTGGTATGCAACTACCATGTTTACATGCTGTGCCAAAATTTATTGAGGATTCAGTCCTCGCTCTCACAGGCCTATATCCACACACAAGAGACCACAAAGCTCTATTGGCCTACAAACCATCTTTAGGCATCTCACTGATCTTAATAATGATGACCTCTAAAAATCCTCTATGCTAGTTCCATATGCCTAGGGGAAAAAGTTTTGGACATGACCAGGACCATACACTGCCTAACCCTAGGTCAATCACATACACTCCCACTGAAGTATATAATTCATCATAATTCGTATTTACATGTCCTCATGGGCTTTAAAGGCCACAAACCCCAACAAAAACTACGGCCTAGGTCGGATCAGGGCCAGGACCATGATACGACCGGCTTGGTTCAGCTTGACCAAGCCATATTTTTTCTTCACTTTTCCTTTTAATTTACTTTTCTTGTGTCTCCGGCCGTTTCGGCCTTGATAGGGCTAGGGCCCCCGGGCTCGAGCTAGGGCCTTTTTGGACTGGTCAGGGCCGGCCCTAATGTGGCAGGGCTAGGTCTGATCCGCCCTGATTGTTGCTAGCTTTTGAGAGAGAGAGAGAGAGAGAGAGAGAGAGAGAGAGAGAGAGAGAGATGCATACATACATACATAGCCTTGGAAACACATGCTCTTGATGCTTGAATCAATATTCTAGTTCTTGTGGTTAACTTCTTCTTCTTGTTTTGCAGATAGAAAATGAATATGGGGACATTGAAATGGTTTATGGAAATGGTGGTAAGCCTTATGCAATGTGGGCTGCGAAAATGGCTCTTTCTCAAGATATAGGTGTACCTTGGATCATGTGCCAACAATATGATGCTCCTGATCCCGTGGTGAGTTTTTTAATTCCTATTAAATATTCCAGATTCAGATGTAATAATATGTATAATAACCCTTGCCAATTTATTATTGAAACTAGATTAATGCCAGATAAATAATTGTTTCGTTGATTAAAGGATGTTAAAAGCATAAAGGGGACAATGACAACCACAATTGCATTAGAGGAAGCAAGAAAACACCTTATTTATGAATCTTAAGATCCCAACTTTTCCCTTTTAAGTTTGGTAATCTGTTAGATAAAGTGTTTATGACAAAATTCGTCACCTCAAGAAGCAAAACTGATTACTTTTAAGTGAACAATCCTTGTGAAGACTGGTTGCGGGAAATTAGAGCTTGTGCTTCTAATCAAGAGACCCGCTGGCAGGACCCCAGTGATGCTTAATGTTCTCTTTTGAATTTTTTCAAAGAAATCCAATCAGTCTAGTATTTCCTTTGGAGGAGTACACATGACCGTTAAATCATGTGTAGTTTTCTCTTTATTTGGGCATATTGCATTATACCCATGACCCTGCAACTACGAACCCCTAACACCTTTTGTTATAATGTAGTTAAGAACCAAATGATGATGTGCTTCTCAATTATTCCAAAAATTAACCTTCCTCTAAACTCACCTATGAATGTCTAATTGATCCTTCTTGTAAGGTTTTGTATATCATTTCTAGTAACATATTACTAGCAAATCACACCTTTGTGCTTGCTTTTGATAAGATTGTACTATTTACCAAGTCACTTTAGAAGATTTGAATTGTCCATTCTATTTGGAGAAACTTAGAATCATTTCTTATATTCTCCAAACACACGTGTGTTTTATTGGCAAATGATCCACAATATATTTTGTTACCATCAATGAAGGCGAGAAATTAGGGAATTTGTTGTATTTTTGGGTTCACTATGAAATAGATCTTGTTCTAATGAGCCAAAAGGAAAATAGATGGAGTCCTGGTGAGGGGCATTCTCTAAATCTAGCCCCCCCCCTCCTATAAATTCCATTTACTATTTTATAGCAACAAAGTCATTGATTTAATTGAAGATAAACCTGATGGCTGCCATTGTTGCACTCTTTGTTCCACCTTGCTTATCTAGGCATGTCAACATGAAGTGCTAGACCTGGCAGTGTGGAACTACATTTTGTAATTCAAGAATTTATCTCTTTCTTTTATTAATTGCTGGAAATTCTACTTACATGTGCCACTATGGGCCTGCTACAATCTAGGATCTTAATAATTTACTGCTAAAATAAAACTTTATTCAAACTAAATAAAAACTTAACAATTTTAGGAAATAGATAAACAAGCATAATAGTAAATAAAATTAAATAACTGAGGGAAGACTTACTAACTTGTGCCTAGGGTTATCCCCTTGAGGCTTAATATACCCTACACCTGATCACCTGACCAATGATGCACTTGATCCTAGAACTTGCTAAATCCACCAATTTGAATTGGGAAGCACCTCTGCGCTCTGAAACTGATGGGGCAAGAAAGGTAGGGTCACAATAAGGTTTCACTAAGAACCTTTTCTACCTAGGGGCATGCCATAAGTAGCACCTCCCCAACTTCTAAGACAAGAGGGTTAGGGGTGCCCCCCGTACTTGACTCTTCTTTGAGGTGCGTTCCACCCCAACACTTTTGGGGGTCGTGTGCCACCTTCTAGAGAGAGGAGAGAGGAGAGAGGAGCTAGAAAAAGAGAGAGAGATGAGAGAGAATGACATGGAGAGAGAGATGATATGTGAAATAAGGGGGAGATCTCCCCCATTTATCGGCCTCTAGGGCTTAGGGAGTCCCATTCAAATTAGGATTTCATCTTTATCTAGAATTATTAGGTAATTTGTGAAGTGAGTGAGAAGATTTAATTTGAGCCATTCATCTCCAAGATCAGCCACCATGATCTAGAGTGAATGTTAGGAATCTTACTCCTTGAGATTTGACTGATATCCACTTCTATCGTATCTAGAACTTTGACCGGTCAAACACAAACTTATAGAATTATCTAGAATACCGTTTCTCTCACAAAGGGATAATAAGGAAATTCAAATTAATGCAAATTGGTCAAAGATAAACTAGATACTATAAAAATGTATGGTCCACATGTGTGGGGCTGGGCCCTTAGCCCCCCACCTGGGTCCCACAGACAATAAAATTTTTAGAATACCTTCAAAATCATAAAAATTTTGAAAATGCTATTTTTGGGTTTTTTAAGCAAATAAATGTATTTTAAGATTCTAAAAATATCCAAAAATCATAGTAACACATTTTTAGTTGAAAACAATATTTCTAGAGTTTCAAAAAGATCTAAAACATACAGAAATATAACTTAAAAGTGGATAGCTACCTAAGAGGTCAAATAACATGTGAATATCTAGCAGTGTTTCCAAAAAGTCCTAGGCGGCCAGGGGGCTCCAGGCCTCACAGTGCCTAGGGAGGCACCCAGAACCTCGACGACCCAATAGAAAAAAAAAGAAGTAACTATAGTCTAACAATATAAGTAAAATTGTATAATACATAAGAGTTAGGGACTTAGGGCACATCAAATGTATAGTACACAAGTCCACATAGCACAAACTCCTCCATACTCCATAAGCCTATAGTTTGATCGTCCACTAAATCTAATATCAATGGTTGATGCTTAGATCAATTTTTCATAACTTTGAGAAACCCTTCGATTCTATGGAAATCTCCAAAAAACTAGTTTTTGGGAGTTTTTTTCTATCTAAAATAAGCTTTAATGGGGTTTAGGTTTCAAATGAACCTAAAACCCACGATTCTGTCCCTTTAGTATTAAAAAAAGACAAAAACATGCCCTCCATGAGGAGCATTTCCGCCCTTGGGCAGGATGGAGGCCTTAGGCGGCCGCAAGTCGCCCAGGGACAATCCACCTAATTTGGCCGCCTAGGCTTGGGCGAGGCGTCGAGGCCTTTTGGACCGCTAGATGCTGTGCGGTCTGCTTTTTAAAACACTGATATCAAGGCACTCCACCTGTGCTAAGATCCAAACCAACCCAGCGACCCATGACCCATAGTCAAATACAGGGGCTCATGATTGGCCCGTTAAAGGTAGCCAATAAATAATGGAACTATGGTCCCAGTATGTGGATTACAGGTTCTCCCCCTAAGAGCAAGTCAAATACACACATCACCATAGTGTAAGGGGGCTCTCTCTATGCATGTGTAGTCGTGTACACATGTCCCTCTATATAGGATTGCTTCTCAAAATGTAGTTGTTTTATATTTATGTCGTGCGGAGGTTTTGTTGACGATTCCCTCGCTCTCATAAGCCCTTCCTTCCACACAGGAGACGACAACTCTTTTGGCCTACAAATAATGTCCGTGGGTATCTTTCCGACTCAACAAAGGATGACCCGCAATAAACCCTTAACGGTGGTGCTGCATGCCCAACAGTGAGGGTTTTGGATATGATTTGGCCTATAGACCTCTCAAACCTAGTCAGTATGTCACAATACACTCCATTGAAGTACATAAATCACTATAACTAATTTTATTTACAAGCTCTCTAGGCCTTTAAAAGCCACAAACCTTGAGAAGAAGGAATTCTTTACTTTGCATCGTCTGGAGAAACATCCTCATTCCCAACAATGGGTGTGGTTAGAAGAGGGTTAGAAGCCACCTTTGCAGTGCTCACTTATAGAAGGCACCTCCTGTATACCCTCCCAATTATCGGGCTTAGGGGAATCTTTCACTTACATGTCTATAGTTGCAACCATATCTCTTTGTTTTGTTCATTATGAGAAGCGTGATCGGGATCTATTGACCAATATCCTCTTTGGCCAAGCCTTCTTACAGAACTCTAGGTCCATCTCAAAACTTAAGCTAGTGATTACACCATCCTTTTTCTCTCTCTAAAGCTTTCCACAATCTCAAGAAACATCTATAGAATGCTCATTTGAATATTGATGAAAACTTAGCACCATTTTTTTTTTGGGTAAGTCAGTGGGGGAGAAGGCCCCCTACCCGTTTTTCATTAATAAAAAACCAGAGGAAAACAATTAAGGTACAACCCTATGAAAGGGAACTTGTGCTAGATCATGTAATAAAAGATAAAAAAGAAAATCTGGTGTTCTATGGCGCCACACAGTGGCACCGGGTCCAGCAACTGCCCTCTTAGCAAGGTTATCAGCAACCATGTTAGCCTCACGAAAGACATGTGTGATGGACCATCGATGAGAAGACAGTCTGATGCAACAGTTGTCAACAATCGTCTTTAGCCTCCATGGAGCATTGCATCGATTCTGAATGACATTCACAAGCAAAGCCGAGTCACTTTCAATCTGAATTGGAAAGCAATTACTTTGAATAACCAATTGAACTCCTTCCTCAAAAGCCATGAATTCTGCATGGTTATTGGAAGCAAGACCAAAGTGCTTTGCAAAAGCAGCAATAAAACCACTCGTACTGTTCCTGATAACTCCACCACCACCTGCCAAGCCTGGATTTCTCAAGGAAGCACCATCAATATTCAGTTTGTAATTATGAGTCTCAGGAAAAGGCCACGCTACCGAGGTAAAGGTCACAGTTCTTTGCTACCAAGTTATCCAAAAGTTACCAATGATTGCCTTTTCTGATAAATGAAAAGACCATTTCTTAACTTCTGCTAGTGCTTGAATATGCATGGTAATCCTTTTAACAATAAGCTCTCTCCTGGTGGGTCATAACTCAAAAACTCTTCTGTTGCGCTCTTCCCATAGAAACCAAATAGTAGCAAAATAGATGGAAGACCAAATATTACGAAGTTCATGTGATTTAAATCTGAAGAGTAGCCACCACATGAGTAGATCAGGGATAGAGGTACCAAGGACAAACCTTTTTCCACATCTCCAAGAGAGTGATCTTCATACATCCTATGCAAAAGCACATTAAAATAACAGATTAAAAAGATTGTCATCATGGTTACTACAAAAGGGACATAAGGTGTCTAATTGCATGCCTCGCTGCTGTAGTAAGAATGAAGTGCGTAATCGATTATGCGAGGTCAGCCATGAAAACCACTTCGCCCTCGGGTGGCATTTGGAGGACCAAAGTGTACAGAAAATAAGTTGTGAAGAACCTTGATGCCTAATAAATCCCATACCTTTTTAATAGAAAAAGATCCATCAGCAGAATGAATCCAAACTAGTGTGTCCTTCTTGGGCTGTAGAGGGAGAGTATAATTCTCAACCTCTCTCTATATATTCCTCAAAGAATCAGATGTGGGATGCGGCAGAACCCAACCTTGAGGAGCTCCACTAATAAAATCTGAAACCCTCCTTCCTACTGTAGCCCCCAAAGCTTCCTGAATGTCAACTTCGTGGATAAGAGGCTGACCTGCTAACCATGGGTCCATCCAGAAATCCACCAACTGACCATTATCGATATTCCACAGTACATTGCCTCTCAAATGAAATAAGCCAAGTAAAAACCCCTTTCCATGTATGAGAACATCGTCTTCAGCCTTCATCCTCCCAAATAGAGGAATTTCTAAAATATCGATATTTGAAGAATCGTGTGGATTTTCCAAGATCCTCCATGCTAACTTCATCATACCTGCGATATTGAAATCCGCCATATCCCTTACCCCAAGACCTCCTTCAGCCATAGGGAGGCACACTGTTTTCCATTTTATCAAATGAACACCTTTTTTTTCTGCTTCACCGGCCCATAAGAAGTTCTCTGTAGTCTCTCTATCATATTACATGTTTTCTTCTGATGAATGAAGGATAATAGCCAGAAAACCGATAAAGCCCCTAGAACAGACTTAAACAGCTGAAGTCGATCGACATATGAGAGGCATAAAGGCTGCCAAGACCTGATCTTACCAAACACCTTACCCACCAGATTATGGCAATAACTGTGCTTCAGATGTCTATGAAATAATGGTAGACCCAAATAGTGGACCGGAAGAAAACCTTCAACAAACTTTAACTCCCTCAGAATTCTCCCCCGTCCTCCCCGTAGTGCCCCAAGGAAAAAGACCTTGCTTTTAGAAGAGTTCAAAATCTGACCAGTACTCCTCTCAAACTTTTGAATAAGTACACGCATAGCTGTAACAGTAGAGATGGAAGCCTCACAGAAGATAAGCACATCATCCAATAAAAGAAATGCGAAACCCATAGTCAAACCCTGAAGAAACGCCCTGTGAACCATGCCTTGCAAAAAAGCACAATCAAGCTGACGGCTAAAAAGATCCATGACCAGCAAAAATAGATAAGGAGATAGAGGATCCCCTTGCCTCAAACCTCGCTTACCTTTAAAAAAACCTTTGGGTGAGCCATTCCTCATAACAGAGAAAGAAGTAGTGGAAATACATAAGTGACCCAGAAAATAAATAGCTCAGGAAAACCTAAAGCTTGCATCCTACCCACCATAAAATCCCAGGAAACTCTGTCATAGGCACTGCTCAAATCAATTTGCAGACGCATTTTAGGACGATCTGAGTTCTTATGGCAAAGAGACATAATAAGCCTACCTTTCAAAAAAGCAGCTTGCCTAGGGTCAATTAAATCAGCAAGAACAACTCGTAGGCGATTAGAGATTGTTTTGTTGATGATTTTGTATAAAACATTACACAACCCTATAGGTCAAAAATCTTTCATCACCCTAGGAGCATCTACTTTAGGAATCAGACAAATAAAGTTGGAATTTATTTTCTTGAGCAGCTTACCCTTAGTGAAAAATCTTTAAGGGCCAGAAAGAGATCCTTTTTAATGACTTCCCATCCAAACTTTTAGAATTCCACTGGAAAGCCATCTGGTCCTGGAGCACTTTCATTTTTCATATCCCAAATACACGCTTTAATTTCCTCCATAGATACTGCGTCCACTAATTTGTCCTTCTGAGAAGAGTTGAGATGGAAAGGCGGCAAGGCCTGGTCAACCATGTGAAGGTCAACATTGCTTTGCTGAGCCAGTAAGTCTTTGAAGTAGGCAATCATATGATTTTCAATATCATCCTCAGTAGACGAGAGATTTCCATTCTGATCCTTCAAAGAGATAATTCTATCAGACCTCCTTCTAAGTGAAAATATTTGGTATTGGAGATTAGCACCATTAGCTCCACCTATGTCCCCTTCTATCTTTCTCTTGCTTTGCTTATACTCCTCCATATTTTAATGGACGACTCGATGAATCTCTTTCGGTTGAGATCCTTCTATTGTGGTAATGATTGTTGTTCAACGTGAAGAGCTCATAGATGTGAACCCCGTGCGAACCACCAAGGAAGAGGTGGGAGACGGTTGGCACTTAATGACTGACTACCAAGACTTTTTGAGAAACCTAAAACCTTGTTCAAATCCAATATGAAGTGCGATTTCTGAAGATTGCACATCATAATAAACCTTGTGTAGGAGAATCAGTTCAGCAATATGACTCTTGTAATCATGTGCAATCTTCAGTTGTGCTTAATCTCTTCTGGGTTCAAGGGTCAAATGCTACTGTAGTTGCAAATTTACCTTGCTGCAGCTATTGTTCAAAGAAACATCTCTTAACAAATATTTGAATATTGTTCCGTTTTAAACTGAGGAAGACTTTGATGGTCTTCTTGTGACAAAATTTCCCAATTTTCCTCTGAATTCCATCCTTCTATGAATATTATGATTTCCTTTCTAGTTCAGTTGAAACCATTATTTTAGAAATGAGGATGTAATAACTGTAGGCTGTAGCACAAGGCATTGTACTTCTTTCATGGTATCTCTGTAATTTGATCTCATTTCAGGTTGCTACTTGGGGTAAGTTTGTACATCAATGAATAACACTATCTTTTGGTGCTAAGCATAGCAGAGATAGTTTGCAGAAATTCCATACATAGAGCTTCATATTTCTACCTATAGATCTCAATCATATTTTGATCAAAATTTGAATTTGATGTGTGCCTTATATGTCTTGCAGATCAACACTTGTAACTCATTTTACTGTGACCAGTTTACACCCAATTCTAACAGCAAGCCAAAATTTTGGACTGAGAACTGGCCTGGATGGTAAGGATTGATCCTAACTACAACTGAATGATTTTTTTGAGGAGGGGCATCTTTTGGTACTTATTTGTTTGGATAATACTGAATAATACGTGGTATGTGATCGTAATATTTGTTTCAAAGTGTCAATTATTGGTGCCTATATGCTCAATATGGAATGATTATGGTAAGAGACATCAAGAATATCATCATTAGCTCCTTAGTGGTAACCAAAGGATTTTGGAGGGACAATATTGGCTGTGTTTATCTGAAGGTTGTACACATGGAGCATATGGGTACATCTTGGGTATTCATCATCTATTCATATGATGGCCAGTGGAAATGACTGCAGTTCTAGTCACTAACAGTAACCTGGAATTACATTTCCCCTCCTCCATGCTTCTTGGGAATGGATATGGATGGCTGGCTGGATATATACCACAGACAGGATATGTATGGTGCACTTTCACTATAATGATAATAGCAAATGAGAGATATAGCTTTTGGATTCTTTTTTCTCAATACATAATTGCATATGGAATTTCAAATAGGCGTGTCATACTCACAGACTGAGGTCTCTTAGTGATCACTGTAGCCTGTAAACCGAGCCATTCGTGTCCTTGATTCTAGAATTGATGACCAAAAAAGATGGTGTTATAGAACTTTTCAAACCCTATTTATCAGGTACACGAATCTTTATCCCCTTGATATTTAGGGCTCAAGAGCTTAAAACTTTTTATTTTTGGAAGATTTTTGGGCTCCTGATTTCTTACTACTTAGTCACATCAAAAATAGGTCTGTTACAGAATGCCCTTTTTCAATCTTTTACTTGTTTCTGAAATAATATTTCACAGAATTCTGTCCCTAATGGAATATGGCGTTAATGCATTTTGCTTAGCTGACTCCTATGAAGAGGAAAGTTGGGTTCCTTGATGGTGCTTCCCTTATCTTCTTGGCAGTTTCCTCTTTCACTGCATTTTTAGTGATTTAGATCATTCTCGACAAAAATATTGTAAGAAAAAATTGTTTAAAACTTTTATGTTTGTGACATTTTTAATAATCAAATTTAGGTTAATTTCTGTTACCACTGCAGGTTCAAAACCTTTGGGGCTAAAGATCCTCATAGGCCACCTGAAGATATTGCCTTTGCTGTTGCCCGTTTTTTCCAGAAAGGAGGGAGTCTTCAAAATTATTACATGGTATTTTACAGCTGCATTATGTTTTGGCTAGAGGAAAACATATTCTTTGTTTCCATAAGTTTAGTAAGTTCCCTGTGTGCGTCATGGTTTCTGATAGTTTTAGAAGTTTCTATTATGCATGAAGGGTACACGGTATGTTTGTGTTTCAGTATCATGGGGGAACTAATTTTGGACGCACTTCTGGTGGACCTTTCATTACAACAAGCTATGACTATGATGCACCCATTGATGAATATGGTGAGCTTTATTATTTTCCCCCAAGGATGTATATTTGTTTAGATGCTAAAATTGTCAAAAACTCGTGGCATAGAATTGTTTTACATGAACATGTTGATCAATGTTTCATTGCAATGAGTCAATGACTTCTCGGAATTTTATATAGGTATCACTCGTCAGCCTAAATGGGGGCATCTTAAACAACTCCATGAAGCAATAAAATTATGTAAGCATGCTCTGCTGTATGGGGAACAAATCAATTTATCCCTTGGTCCTCTACAGGAGGTGTGACTTCTTTCCTTAGATTATTGAAATTGGTTTCATTTTTGTTGTCGTTAATCTGATTGGTCTCAAATATTGCCACAAACCTTCAGCTCCATAACTTATTTAATAGGAACATGGTGAAAGTCACTTATTGCTTACATTGTTTTCATACTTAATTTGTTTATTGCATAGTTCATTTCCATGTTATATCTATCATTCTGATTTTTTGTTTGTTGCTAGTGAATGACAAATTCATGTTTAGGTGAACCAAGTTTGTGGGCATGATCATTCTGTTTTCTTTTTTGTTTGCTGCTAGTGAATGGCAAATTTCTGTTTAATTGCACCAAATTTGTGGGCATGATATGCAAGTCACTCTTATGGTGATTAAATTAATATATCTGAATCCTATTTTTGAGATGGTTTCACCTGACCTTAGAAAACACTAGTTTTACTTTGTATATGTTTTTTCCAGAATTAAAATGGGTTTAAATTTTAAAATGGATATGGAGATTTCCATAGAACTATATTATCCATGGTCATGGAATACTAATTTTTTTTGGAGAAGTTCATTGAATACTAACTTCATCACTGCAGTTTGTTCACAGACTACGTATAGACCACATTGTGCATAAATGCATTGGCCCTCTAATACTTGATGTCTCTGTTCTTTCAACGAAGTTTTATTTCTTAGATGCTTATTTTGTTTGAATGCTGTATGCACATAAGATTGCTCGTCACTTCAGGATGCTAAGAATCTAGAATAAGCAAATTTGATATGCTTCTGCTTGAAGTTTTCCATCACATCAATCTAATGTAGATCACGTCGACTAAGGCTACTTAAGCATATTAAATCACGAGCCCAAGAGCAGATAAACAACTCAACTATATGCTGTTTTTATCCATGTAACTGGTAGCAACAGTCAACTGTTGCCATTTTGGCTCGGGTGGGATTTGAACCTGCATTGTAGTGTTGCAATAATTAAGATCATAACAGTTGAAAAATATGCTATTTATGTCTATTCTAAGCAGAAACTAATAGGTGGAGAAAGAGAAGTAGAGAGATAAATTAAAGAGAGATAGGTGTGTGTGAGAGAGAGAGAGGAAGCATGTGATCCTTTTCTTAGGATCAATCATATGTTTCATATTAGTATTAATGAGCAAACTCACAGCAGATGCCCTGGTATGAGTTTGTAACCTACACTTAGCCCCGTAGATTCATTTATTCTATTTATATCACGAATTTACTACTATACTTGTGACACCCCCGCTCAAGCTAGAGCATAGGTGCTAATCGTGCTTAATGTTTTAGAAAATACTAGGCAGTCAGCCTGCACCCAACACACAGGCGGGTGCCCAGAACCTTAGGCACCTTGAGGTGAAATTTTGTTAGAAATAGACATATATGTGCTGTTCAGATACACATATGTGCATACATTTGTGTTAATTTTGTATTTTTTGTATTTATATGTATTCCAACTAACTTTTTTCGTGCAAATATATACGCATGAATGTTGAAACACATTCAAAACTTCAAATCATTGAAAGTTCAATGAAAAACATAAACAAGTCCATAGTGTATTAGTCGCCAACTCTCCAATCCATACTCCACAGTGATATATAATCAGGATACATAGTTACACACACCTGGACATACTTACATTAACTCCAAGTCTCCAATAGAAGAATAAAACCAATAAATCCAAATGTCCAATGCAAGATGATGCAATACAAACGACAAGATGAAACACAAAGGTAAAGGCAATAAAAGTCTTCTAGTACCTTTACTAGCACCTTAAAAAAAACTTAGTAGTTAAGATTAAGCTTTTGGATGCTTCTTGAAACCTCCAATTTCTTTTTCAATTCAAATAAATTTGCTAAATCAATCGATTTGGGCTGTTTGTAGGGTCTAGGTTTTATTTTTTTCATTTTGGGGGGTTTAGTAGTTCCAAACACCCTTTTTAGTATATTTCGTGGGTCAAAATGATCCAAACTTCCCTTAGGGCCCTCTTTTTTCCACAAAAAGGGCGCAGGACCTAGGTGCCTGCCAAGGACTAGGTGCCTGCCAAGGACTAGGTGCTAGGAGTACTAGTGCCTAAGAGGATTGGGAGGGCCACCCAAGCCTAGGTGTGCCGCCTGGGGCCCTTGGGGCACCTAGGTGCTAGACAGTCCATTTTTGTAAACCATGGTCATGCCTAGCTTAACAACTATATCTTGCTGTCTATCATTGGCAACTTCTTTAGTAAAGGTATCTACTAGATTTTACATGAGTACAAATAATTTCTGGCGGCAATCTTTTGATCTTTTCCTTTTTGAAATTATAATCTACCTCAATATGCTTAGTTCTCTCATGAAATATGGGATTCTTAGCAATGTGAATGGCTGCTTCATTGTTACTGTTGGGGTGTGTGGCCTTCACAGGATGTGAGAGCATGTAAATAAAATTATTTATAGCGATTTGTGCACTTCATTGATGGTGTGGCGGTCCATGGCCCAGGTCACGTCCAAAGCCCTTCCCCCTAGGCATAAGGTACGACTGTTGAGGATTTATATAGGGTCATTCCTTGTTGAGGTCAGAGAGATGCTCAGGGACGTTGTTTGTAGGTCACAAGAGTTGTGTGGTCTTCTCCTGTGTGCGAATATAATCCTGTAAGCGCGAGGGCTAAATCTTCAACAAAACTTCTACATGACATGTAGATATGAGAACCACATTTCAGGAAGAAACCCTATACAGGGGGACACATGTACATATGCATAGAGAGAGCTCTATAAGAACTGCAGTGATATGTACATATAACTTGCTCTTGGGGGAACCTGTAATCCACATACTGGGACTGTGATTTCACTGTTTATTGGTCAGCTTCGACGGACCAATCATGAGCCCCTGCACTTAACTATGGGTCATGGGTCCCATTGGATTGGTTTGAAAAGACAATAGAGGATCATGGATCCTAGTATGGGTGGAGTGCGAGTGCCCTGACGTTAACTTATTTTTTACTTGTTAGGTACCAATCCACGTGTTTAATTTTTTTTTTTTAAGAACTTTAGAAATATTGATTTCAACTAAAATTGTATTTTTATGATTTTAGGATATTGTTTTCAGAATTTTAAGATTGTTTCTAAATGCATAAAAACCCATAAAGGGTATTTCTTCAATTTTATTAATAAGGGGCATTTTGGTTTTAAATGGGACCCATGTGGGGTGGCTAAGGGTGCATCCCTAACACATGTGGGGCCTGCAAGAGTGGGACGTGTGGGGTCCATATGGGCCACACAACCCTCGTAAAAGGTCTTTTTCTAAATTTTTTTTTGAAAGTACTCCTCTTTGTTGAAAATTTATCTTGGAAAAAATCTTGGTGGATTTTTATCCTAGAATATTTTCTTAGTGAAAATTATTTATTGGATATTTTATTTTTGATCTCAATAATCTTTGACCAATTTTGATTATTTAAATTATAGATTATCCTAGATTATTCTAGATTGTTCTAGATGATAAGTTTAATTGGTCATAAATCTAGATAAAGATAGTATTTAATAGGATTTGTAAGGTTCCTAAACATTCTCTCTAGATCATGATGGCTGATCTTAGATATAAATGACTCAGATTAATTTCATCTCACCTCATAGATTACCTAAGTAATTTTAGAGTAAGTTGAATCCTAATCTGATTGGGACTACCTAGGGCCCTTGAGGCTTATATAAAGGGAGGTCACCCCTTCACATTCTCTACACATATTAGACCTCTTCCATCTAACCCTCCCCTCCACTGCCCTCTCTCTCTTCTCTCTAGGTGGCAGGTCACCCTCTATAAGTATTGGGCTACCTATAAGGTAGAGGGAAAGCCCACCCTATTGTTTTGGTTTTAGGGGAGGTGCTGTCTTGTTATATGCCCCAAGTGAAAAAGGCTTCTCTGTGGAACCCTAATTGTGACCCTTCTTGCTCTCAATGCCATAAGTATCAAATAAGGGTATCTTAGAGTTGCCTGCTAGGTTTAGATTACAGGATTCAGCAGGATATGAAATTTTAAGTGTGCCATTGGTTAGGTGATCGGGTGTGGGGTGTACTTAGCCCTAAGGGGGTAACCCTAGGCAAAAGTTAGTAAGTTTTTCCTCTGTTATTTTATTTTATTTTCTGCTGGTCTTGTCTTTGGCAGTAAGATTTAGAGATCCTAGATTGCAGTAGGTTTATTTCTGCATTGTATTGTGGGCATTGTAAGTATAATTTCCAGCAATTAATAGAGCAAAGAAAGAAAGTTTTTGAATTTATCCTCTGGAATTATAGATTGTGAATTTATCCTCTGGAATTATATATTGCCACACCTTTCAGTTGCAATAAAGGGTCATAGGTATTTTTGTACAGGGTCTCTTGACCTATTTTTTGACCGAGAGACCGACTTGTGGGTACTCTCGGACCCCTCTTATGTATTCTAACACTCTACATCAATACAAAAGTTAACTTTCTCTCAAAAAAATAAATAAAAGGTCATAGGTATAACTTTTTAACTCCCATATCAGCCACCCACAGAACTTCACATGCTCCATCTAGCTTTACTACTTTTTGCTTTTTACTCTTCCATGAAACCAGATTATTATAGGTACAATAACCTGTTGTTGGCTTCGATCAGTTTGTGAACCAGCCCAATTAGCATTAGTGTAAATTGCAATAGCCATATGACCATAGTTAGTAAACAACAATCCTCTACCAAGAGATAACTGAAGATACTTGAGGGATGCAGTAGAACAACATCTAAATGAGGTTTTCAAGGGGCATGCATGAACTTACTAACTAAACTAACAACATAAAAAATATTTGGTTGTGTAATTGTAAGATATATAAGCTTTCCCACTAACCTCTGATATTCACTAGGATCCTTTAATAACTCTCTCCCATCCGTTCATAAAGTTTATGATTGGTTTCCATAGGTGTATCCATTGGTTTTGTCCCCCAGTATTCCTTTTTGTTTTAACAAATCGAGCACATTCTTCCTTTGAGAGATAGCTATTTCTTTCTTTGATCTTGCCACTTAAATATCCAAATAAAATATTTAGTGGACGTAAATTTTTTATGTCAAACACTTTACTAAGATAGCATTTAAGATCTTCAATATCTACTAAGCTGCCCCCTTTTACTGTAATATTGTCATCATCATTTTTCCTCACAATCATGCTCCTTTTCAACCTAAGTCTTGGCAAGGTGCCACTGAATTTCCCAAACCAGGCTCTTGGCGATTTTTAAGTCCATATATCGCCTTTTTCAATTTGCATACTTTTCCTGTCTCATGTTAAAGCTGAAACCTGAGGGCATGGTCATATACACTTCCTCATGAAGATCTCTATGCAAATAAACATTTTTCACATCCAGCTGACACAAGGACCAAGATTTATTTGCAGCCAAAGAGGGAATAATTCTACAGTATTCAAGTTTGCTATTGGGGCAAAAGTCTCTTTTTAATCTATACCCTGAGTCCAAGTAAAACCTTTTGCAACCAACCTCGCTTTTCAGCTTTCAATTGTGCCATTTGCCTTATATTACACTGTAAACACCCACTTGCATCCTACCATCTTTTCTTTAGGAAGTTTAGTGTACTTCCAAGTGTTATTTCTTTCAAGAATTTGCATTTCCTCCCACATCGCAGCCTTCCACTAAGGTTGTGATAGAGCCTTTGTTAGACAGGATGGAATGCTAAGAGCAGACCCAGATGATAGGAAAGCATGACAGGAAGGCGACACAACATTGTGAGAAACAAAGTTACATAGAGGATATTGTGTACATGGCCATTTAAGCTTGCGTGATGCAATCAGCAATTCAATATCTGATGCTGGAATTGAATTAGAAGTTAAAGAAATTGCAGGATGGTAGCTGGTTCTAGGTCGAATTCTGAGTTATGGTCATTCTTGAGTTTGGGTTGTTCCAACTTCTTCCTTCTAACGTGTCTTTGACTCCTTTTCCTTGGCTGCAACTGCAACATTCCCACTTTCATTTTGGGGCATCTCAGAACCTTCAGAAATAAGGTAGTGACACAGGATTATTTTCTTCTTGTCTACTGTGCTCCCCCTGAACAGAGCATTGCTGTCCAACGTGAGAGAAATATGGAATGGATTCAAAGGTAACATCCATAGCAACAAAACAGACTTTACTTACAGTGTCATAACATTTGAAAAGTATAGAGATAGAATAAAGAGAGATAACCAATATCCAACCATTATCATGGTTTCCGAGTTCTCTTTTGTGATGCTGATTGGCTAGTTCCTCTTGTTTTGTGGACCAATTGGCCGATGTTGAATTGCATTATTCTTGTTTTTGTAATGTTTAAGATGCCTGCAATTACGAGATATATTTCGTAGGGAACATGGCCTCCAAACCCTACCCACCCCTCAATCTGTAACATACCATTATAGTACATAGACTTAGCTACTTAGTCTGATTCCATCAGCACTATATGCAACTCCATCTCATGCCTTGCACGAACTGTTCAAGATGGAATTTTGTTTACACATTGTTTTATGCTGCTGAATTCAGTGTATGGTATATATACCATTTGGCCAAGTGTTTTATGTGTTACATGAACTCTATTCTGGTTCTTCAGTTCTTCTGGTTGATCTTATTAAGGGGAGAAATATCTAGTTCTTTTATTTTCAATGTCATGATATTAACATTTCAATTAGCTGATGGAAGATTGGTAATTTTTCATCATTGTACAGGTTGACATTTATACAGATGGTTCAGGAGAATGTGTTGCGTTCATTTCTAATGTGGATGAAAAACATGATCAGCATGTAACCTTCCGAAACACATCATATCTCATACCAGCTTGGTCAGTTAGCATTTTGCCTGATTGTAAGGAAGTGGTATATAACACTGCAAAGGTAATCAGTCTATGCTGTCATCTTATCAAAAGGATATCTTTCATTGATGTCTTTGTTCCAGCCATTATATTTCACATTCAAAACTGATGCTTGACCCGTTTCCGTTACAGATCTATATACAAATATGATAACGCATAATACAAAATTGGCCTTCAGAGGCAAATTTACACAGACATATGCATGTAAAAGTACAATCCCTCAGTCTAAACCACTAATCATGCAACAAATAATAAAACCCAATACAAATTGGCCTTCATAGGCAAATTAACATACAGATATATACACTTATAAAACCAAACTAAGCCTCTGACCCTCTTGATACCGAACTTCAAGGGAGTTTTACGTTGGAAGAACAGATTAGACTACCAGTCGCATGAATCCTCCCCTTTGTAAAAATGTTTGCATCTACTAAGAGGTGGAAATATGTCGAAGTGATGCAAAATTGGCAAGAGAGAGGAAACTACTCTCAAACAAAGTAATCGTCAACCAAATGTGGCATGTGCTTCATCTCATCATGGAGGACTGGATTAGAAGTAATCAAAGTAGTGCTGGCATTCTTACATTAAAGACGTGCATGTTGTCAATCAAACACCACGGTTTTAAGGATTGCATAGGGTGATGCAATTGCATTCTTGGTTGATGATTTCTAGCCTCAATTACAACATTTGGGCCTCATAGTCAATATCTTGGTTCATCTTTTAGGTGATATGAGTGGTGTTCCAAGAAAGATGTAAAGGCCTGAAGTTGGAAACCATAACTGCTTATTGCTCGGAAACCATAACTGTTTATGCCCTATTCTTTTTTCCTGGTTCTCTTCTTTTTTTATTCTCTCTAGTAGAAGGCTTAAAGATTAAAGATTGGGGATGAAGCAAGGGCATACCCTGGTATCATGGAGAAATTAGATAAGAGCTTGGAAGGAAGTAGGACAGGTATTGCTATTTTTAGTTTGTACTTTTGAAACCCTATTTAATTGCATTCTTTTACAAGCCAATTTTGTGGACATGATTTCCATTATACTATGTATATGGCAATTCTCTACTGAGAACGCTAAGACCATAGTTGTTGGAATCAAGAGCGAGATATTTGGGGGGGAAGTGGGGGGGAAGGAGGCATCTGGATTGGGAGTGTGGGATTGTGAAAGGCTAGAAGATCATTGTGGTTGGGAGTGTTGTTCATACAATGTTTATGTTAGGGATCGAGATCCCCAAATGTTAAGGATCTTGATCCCAACCTTTTGTGGATCTCGACTATTGTGGATCCTGACCTTTTGGGGATCTTGGTCCCAACCTTAAGAGTATATATAGTCTAAGACTATACATACTCTTTGAAGTAGGGCTCTCTTTATCTATAGCTAACAAACAATACAACTCTTAAAAGCATAGTTGCACTGCTAGTTGGCTATAAATAAAGAAAAGAGTTATGTTGTTATTGAAAGGTCTATGTCTAGCCAAGTATATACAGATTAAAAATATTATTTTCTTTCTTTTATTCATAGAATTTCATAATGCTAGGACATTTACAGGTGTCCAAAAATACAACTTTATTCATAAAAAATACAAATTTATTCATAAAATACCCTAATACCACATAGGATCTTCTCTTGCATACGATTACAACTCTTTACGACCATACAAAAATACAATGCATTGAAGGATCGAGAAATATGGAGCAATTAGAATTACCAAATACCTTGCCTCAAGTTACCCCCAAAGACTTCGTACACCCCACACAGGGTCTCTTCCTCTAGTGGAGCGTGGGATCTCAATCTAGCATTGTCTCATAACTCGAGAAGCCTAGGCAAAACCTCTTGAGAATATGATATATGATAGGACTTTGATCAAGGCTCAACACATGAGCAAATCTCAATACACATAAGGTAGGCATAACCCTTTTAGCTTGGGCGTGCCCCCATTAGAGTTCTACCTTCTATAATTAAACCCTAAGTGAAGTTGAGAGACAGAGAGAGAGAGAGATAGAAAGTGGTTTGCCTACCCTAGCGTTCATAAAGAGAGAGGCTAATAAAAAAATATAGAAAAACGAACCCTTATAGAGGGTATTTATAATATAGAGGCTAGGATTTTACCGTCATTATGAGACTCAATCTTGACCTTTGATCATGGAGACCTGTGGGATGAAGAGGTTTCATCTATTCATTCCTTAGATCAACCATCTTGATTAAAAAGAATGAGGTGGAACGTTCATCCCTCAGTTTTCATAACTCTATTCCCTTCAAATATTGTGCAAACAAAATGTTATCTTTTTGCAAATCAATTTCAATAAATCTCTACACTTTCGTATTTGAAATTAATTAAATTCTCTAGTACTATGCACATGGGTCCCCTTCCAGCACAGTCTAGTGTTGAAAGGAGTCATCTCTTTACACAACATACCCTCATCCATGAGGGTTGCTTGCCAGATGGCTATCTAGTATACATCTTATGTGATGGTAATGATAAGGATTTTGACCCTTATCCTCTCTAGCTAACCATCACACACTGGGGTCACATGCAGTCCCCTTGCCAATCGCCCTGTGTACAACTCTGACCTCATTAAAGGATAACCCCACATCGAAACCCTTATTGGTTATGCATAAATGCCTAGGGATACAAGTTCTTAGACATAAATCTGAGCCATAGCCTGTCAAAGCGTAGGTGAGTCCCTATATCAACTATGCCTCACAGTCCACTCTGGACCATGCCACACAGTCCATCCAGACCATGCACCCATTGGAGCTATCACATCACTATAGTTATAGTTTTACATGCTCTCATAAAGCTTTTATATGGCCACGTAACCCCAACAGTTATCTTGGTGTTGAAGGTGGGAAACAAGATCTCTAATAGTGGGGATGGAGACCTCAAAATAATAGAGATCCCTTGAGGATCCCTTTCTTGGAGTACCAAAGAGAGTTTCCAAAACGGGATTGTCTCCTAAGTTGGAAGATCTTAGGAACCACGATTTTGGACAATGAATGATACCATAAATATAATATAGATGCAGTTAAGTATCCTATCAGTAAGGAAGAATATGTCAATTGTTTTGGAGGGACAAAGACATCATTTGAACAATCTACTTGGTTAATCTATAAGCCGAGGTAAAAGCAAGACTTCTTATATATATGGGACGAGAATAATCCTAATAACACTAACAACTTATGCTTGGTGTATTTGAAGCCTTGGATTTAATTTGCCCAATATGGTTTCTGACAAAAAAAATCAGCTAACCAAAGTCAACAATTTTCTGTGAAAGTTGCAAAACCATGTCTATGTTTTCTATAAGTCAGTTGCAGGAATGGAACTTGTTTAAATGTCAACACTATAACCAATTAAGTCCAATCGAGCTCCCTTTTCTTCTGATCAGTATGAACAAGGGAATATTCAACTTGGGCTTTCTTTGAGTTGTTCTTCTTAGCAACCACCAAATGGTCACCTCTCTTTCCACTTGAACTGCCATGGTGTGTCGACAGTGTATTGTGGACTCTAGTTCTTCGAACTTATTGGGAGTTTTAATGGGTTCGAAATTTGAATGTGGATCATAAGAAAGACTTGATTGAAACGCTCCGAAATCAGCTAATTTGCCCGACGAGTTTCACTTGGAGGAGATCAGATGCTGAAGGCTTCCAATCCCCACCTACAAATCCAGAACTCAGCCCCTGGATGTCGCGCCAGTGCTCTCTCAGCTCGAAGCTTCACCCTTTTCCCCAATCTCTAGATTCTAAAAGCGAAACCTAACCCTGGGTCCCCTCTAGATTGCCGGACTTCCACTAGCAAGTCATCCATATCTCATACCCAAAAATGCCAAATAAGGGGCTACAAACCCACTAGATTCACCCATCCACGGGGTATACATATCACCTTGGAGCCACATCTACTTAAGTATGCCACTACGCCTCATATACCCACTCAAGATGCCAACACCTATGATCTAGACTAGGGTGCCCACCCAAACCAAGCTTTTCAAAATAAATCCCTTGGACTATGCTCCATGGCTACTCAAGACCAAACACTTCCTTGTGCCACCTAACTCCCTTATTTATCCTCCACAACCTAATTCTGAACAATTCAGACCTACTGGAAAGAAGGCACCCCCAACATGTGAGTGGATGAAGATTTGATAATCGAAAGACTAGCCCTCTTATGAGCCTCTTTAGTGGGTTCCTTCTCCTATAGACATAATATCACAGCCTTAGCTAGGTGGGCTTGAACTCAATGAAAAATTGTTGGGAATCTTCTGTAGACATGTTACAGAAGAAGTGAGTGTAAGGCAACCCACAAGGCCGGTGCTCTTATACAAAAATATATTACTATAAAAAAATAATAAACAAAACAAATTGGTTGGCCATCCACATGTTGGGTTGGCCATCCACATGTTGGGTAATCAGCCACTCATGCAAGTGATAGTGAGTATAGAGAGGAATGGAGAAATAGTGTGAAGGGAATTAAGGTGAGAAGAAATACTGAAATCGATAGGAGGAAGTAGAAAACAATGTGACAGGAAATAGAAGTAAAGGTGTAGTTAGCATACGGATGCATCCGTAGCTGTA